AAGGACAACGACCTCAGGACCCGCGGTCGACTACGTGGGAGTCCAGCGACATAGCCATTACACTAACTGCTGGTTCCCTAATCTCTACTATCTTAAACAAAAGGCAGACTCATATATATTTCTTTTTCATGTGAGAAATAAAAAGTTTAACACCTGGATTCCAGAGTAACCCTGCTTTGTTTATTCATAACAACTCATAACTTTAAAAGCCACTAATTCAGTAGCTAATTTGAAGCAAGGAAAATACCCTCTTATCCAATAGCTGACCTGGTTAATTGAAAACATCAATTTAAGCAGGGAATTGTTTAAAAGTATACATATTTAAAATGTTGTTTTCATTAAAACATGTAAAATGTATTTGCCAAACTCAAATGAGGCCAAAGACTTTCCTTTAACAATAATTCTACCAGTTTGAATTCTACTTTGTATCAAAAGTATAACCCACAAGAGTGAAAACAGAGATACTAACTTGCAAAACAATCAGAACACTTTTTTAAAAATCTTTTCCCCCTTTTATTTATCTTCCCCAAGATAGGTAGCTATCTTGCCCACATCTAACCCAACAGCTATCTTTGTGATAACTTGCCTTTATTTATTTATTTGGAGCGGGTTTTTGCTACAGGGCATGTGCACTCACCAGAAAGACAGAGAGAGACAAAGAGATAGAAAGTGAGAAATCACCCCCCAGGGGGAATGACCACATCGTAATCCCTTCTCCTCCATTCTCCTCTTGGGATCTTGGGCACGCATGCACACGTGCCTGGCATGAATTTAAGCCACTGAGTGGTCCAACCGCGGTCGGCTACATGGGAGTCCAGCGACATAGCCATTACGCTAACTGCTGGTCCCAATAACTTGCCTTTATTAAGTCTTCCCGAATTCTTCAACTTAGTTTTTACAGAAGCAGCATTTTTTTAATACTTGTATTTCATTAGCTTTCATGATAATTAAATTTATAATTATTATAAAATCAACCGTCATAAACAGGTTTGGGAAGACACAGCCTCTTCTTGCCAGCATGAAGTCCCGTTAGTGGGAGCACAGGGTATGTATGGCACCAGCAGTTGCCTGCCAGCTTGCTAGTGCCACGGGGCATTGCTCTGTATGGCTCCTAAGGCAGTGTGAGCAGTGGTTAACCTGGATGTGAGCCCAGGGGAAGTCCGTTACAGAGCACACTGGCTGGAATACTTTTCCTTGGGCCACACAATTTAGAATTTTCAAATCAGGAAGGTCCTGTGTCATAATAATATACCCCAAAGTATGGCTCTGGTTGACATCATTTGAAACAGATGATGTTAAAATGATCATTGTTGCTCCTTTGATTAAGCCACGTAAAGTGTTAATGGTACATTTAAAAATTGCTATGTTATCTGTACTTTTTATTAGTGTCAAGTAGAGTTAAATTGTCATTATTTTTTACTGAAATTACTTGCACTACCTCATTTTTTTCTGATCAGTACCTTAAAGCAAATCCTCTGGTTGAAAGAGTCCGTCGGTGTCAGAGGTCATTCATCCTCCAGCACCAGGTAGATAGCACTGCTGCCACTGCTGCCACTCCAGCCTCCTCACCACCAGAGAGCTCTCCATTCTGCTGTTTAATGCATTTCCGACCTTACTGTGTCACGGCTCTGGGGAGAAAATTTTACCAAAGAATACTCCATAGCTGATGTTATATGTGAAATTCAATCATTTCTGGCTGTGAGGCTGTGATCATTTTTTAATGTTATATTGTTTTTATAAGCATCATTATTTTGCAAATTGAGACCTTAGAGGGTATTCAACTCCAATATATAAGCTAAGTCCATTGTTGCAAAGATACTGGACCAACAGAGGATTCTCCTAGTTTCCACTTATTTTAAAACAAATAAGCAATATGCCATCCATGCACTTCTTTCCAGTCTCCATTTCCTCTTCTCTTTGCCATTTTGCAAGTGTGTGTGCGTGTATATTGAGACTAGCCCAGGACTGAGTGACAATAACAGTATAGCTGACATTTATCACGTTAGCCACTTTGTGCTTTATGTAGACCTCTTCACTTAGTGCTCATGGCCTCCAGGGCAAACCTGTCCCTGTGATAGAAGTCCAGGTGAGGCTACCGTATCGTCCCACAGGTACAGACCAGGCAGTGGGGTAACATGCAGATAAACCTAACCATCTCCCTTTGAGCACATATGTACTCAGAGTGTTTGAATGTGTTTAGATTATTTAGATAAGTGCTGTGGTCAAATTACCAAGGAAATCTGTAAGTGGAAAATACTGAGTTACCGACTAATTCTAACGTTGCCCATGCCAGCATGGCTTGTCACAGAGGGGACTCTTTCCTAGCCATTGCTCACCTCATTTCTGTGGCCTCAAAGAACTTTGCCAACTTTGCACTACTGTCAACGACTTATGACGCATGTGTTCCTTGAATCCTACACAGGAGACTGTATTCC